TGAATTGGACAAATGGGAAACTGGGGTGTTGTATCAGGCGGGGTTCTCTTTAGAGCGCTTTTATGTTTTGCCTTCAAACGAAAACGTCTAATCTTCAATCAATCATACTTGGAACAATACTTGCTCATGTTTCTATACTTATTCCTTGTTCCTGGATCCAGTTCTAGGTCGTTAAAGTCACTGTACTTCACAAAAGTTTCAAGGGTCTTGAGCAAATTACCCAATCCGGTAATGTTCTCAAAAGAGCGCGCCAAGAGGTTCAAGCTGCATCCCTCTCTGAGCAAACACTCAGAAAACATTCGATCCTTACTAGCAGCGGATCTAGATGTGCCGCCTTAGAGATTTAACGAATTGATCTATTGGAAACATCAGCGAGCAACCTTTCTGGAAAACATTTCGCCAATCAGATAGTTGCACAACATCATGGTCATACCCTAACCCCGGCTCACTGATGACGGACGGGATGAAAGACGCGCATTTAGGGCAAACTGCCAACAACGCCCCTCATCTACGGATTTTGTTCCCGGAAACATTTCGATGAAGTATTAGGGGTGAGGTCTCGGAAGATGAAGTTAGGGCCCCCCCCTTCCCTGTGCCACGGAAAGGCGTGTAAGCATGGGAGGACGTCCCAGCGCGCGTCGCGATATAAGCTTGCTCTTCCCCGGTAGAAATGTCCCTGGGTCGCAAAGAGAAACATTGTTAGTTCCCTATGTTGATGTTGATTCGTTTGGTGATTATACATCATCAGGTCCCTTCGTCAGGATGCTCCTCTCCCATGTTTCACCTCGCCGCTCCATCTCCGTGATTGGGCTCTTACTGATCTATCTCATCACAATGGCCGCAGCACAAAATGGAACTCGGACCTCTTCTAAGGTCAGGGAGTGTAAGTGGTTCCCTCTTCACTGCAGTTCGGATTATGAATCCTCGGTGGATTAATTTACATGGCCCTCGTACTGACAATGTCCCTAAAAAGGCATCCCTCGCCCTTCGACGACCAGCGCGACATCATCATCTCCTACATCCACGCCAAAAGCCCTGCCGAGAAACTTTGGCATGATCATCAACCGGGCCTTTGAGATGCTCGACGTCTTTGGACCCCTTGACGCCCTCGGATTACTGGCCAAGAACCACCAAATGAACTTATATCTCATCTCCGAGACAATGGACCCCGTCACCGTCGAGCCCGTTTCCGCTGCCATGAACGCCAAAAACTCGAGTTTCGTAAGTGACGACCCCCTGATTCTTTCTGTTATTTCCGGGGTCGAAGCAGCGGTTCCCCTCTTCCGACGGAGCATCAGCTTCCGTACCGAGGTTTCGACCGCCCAATGCTGACGCGAACGACCTCCGCTGGACGCACAGTTCCCCCAAATCCTCCCAACGCACACATACGCAACGGCACCAAAGGACGTTGAAGTCCTCATGGTCCCCGGCGGCCTCTGGACGCGCTCGCCCAACCTCAACGCCACGATCTCCTACATCAAGACGACCTACCCGAGCCTGCGCTACCTCATCTCCATCTGCACCGGCGCCTCCGTCGTAGCCCGCGCCGGCGTGCTCGACGGCCGCCGCGCGACGACGAACAAGGCCTCGTGGGCGAGCACCGTCGTCCACGGGCCGCGGACAGAGTGGGTGGCGAAAGCGCGGTGGGTCGTCGACGGCAACGTGTGGACTTCGTCGGGTGTGTCTGCGGGCATCGACGCGACGCTGGCTTTTATCGAAGAGGTGTATGGCGGGGAGGAGGCGGCGTCGATTGCTGATTTGATGGAGTATGAGAGGCATACGGATGCGAGTTGGGATCCGTTTGCTGAGAAGTTCAATGTCACGGGTTCGACATGAGATAAACTGTGATTCGGTTTCTTCTTATTCATGGGGCGCTGGGAATCTTTGTGTGGGGAAGGTGATTATCAAGAGAATGTAGTTAGACTCTAGTAATGTGACTTAGTAATTAGCTACAACTTCTGATATGAACGGTGAGACCAGCAACTCATGAAGAGGATATTCAAATAGAAATGGCCAAGAACCAATATAGAAAGTGATTTTTTCTTAGATGAGAAAAATTCTCTATCTCATGTTCTCTGACTGGGATTATGCAGTTGATATGTTATGTAAATAAGTTCTCTACTAGATCCAAGGAAAGCTTTGTTAGTCTTTGTAATTCAATACTACTAACTTTACATGGCCCTAGACACCAAAATATCGAGTGTTAGGCTTATAGACTCTTCGATCTCGCAGTCTAGTGAGCAGCTATACTCCCAGAATGATTTTCCAATGTTGATTAGGCGCTGTATAGTGAGATTTGACACTTAGTATCAACTATTAAAGAGAATTCCACAATCAATCTTTAGGCTAGTTAATAACCATAATGGTAGTGTTTGGATTGCTCTAGTTCAAAGACTTTTATTATCTGCCACACAGTAAATACTTCCCTCAAGCGAACTATACTCAAGAAAAGCTTGCAGTGATTTACTAAAGGGTATACAATTATTGCCGGCCAGAATCTAGTGCTCAACTTGTCACCTGTTTCCTGCTCGAACTCAGCCTCTGCAACCAAGCAACAAGAAACCAGTAGTAGAGTTCTAGCTGAGTTTCTCTCCAGGAAATTACATACAGATGCAAGTCTTCACAACAAATAAACGGCTTGCCATAGAAAACATGATACCCTATGCCTCTGGGATTACAAATTGCAGCCTAGCTTTGTGAAAAGTCCAACTCATAATCAACAAAGTCCTCGAACAGTGTTTCAAAAAACAACGCCTTCTATTAACAATGTAACGAGAACTTCAAATTGTTTCGTCTACCATCTGTCCTATTCGCGTCAAACACTCACGTGGGCGCCTCTACATGCGAATTTCCCCACATCACTCATCCCTCCATCAAACATCAAAGTAAGTAAACAAACGACTGCCGAACAGCCAGGTCCATTTGTGTAACGTGAGAAATCAGCACGTGCCGGACGACTCATATCTCCCCCCATGTCTGACCCTCAAACAACTCTCCGCATGATATTCAAACGTATTTCCTTTGCCATAGTGTTCCTTACTCTCAAGTCTTAGAAAAGGTTCCACATCCTGCTGTTACATTATTCGTCATGGTACGAGTAGCATTGCACAGAAACCGCCAGCAGGATCTGGAACAGCCGCCTGAGAAGGGCCGACAGGCGAGAGGCGACCCAACAGCAGCACCAGTCTTGGTAAATAGTGAACTGCAACCGCAGAAGGTCCCAACTCCTGCAAGGCGTGAAGCAAGCTAGTCTCAGTTGTATTGCTATTTACGTTCCGCTCACCCCATTCCTACGTTCCGCAAAGGTCGTGTCTCTAGCGCCATTCTCACCTGAGCTTGGACAGGGCATAGCTTATATCCCGACATGCTTAGTAGAAGAACGTTATGAACCGGCCCTCGTGCCGTTGCGTTAATGTAGGTAGGGGATTCTCCACAGGTACGACGGTAGCAATGTTGGAAGTCTTGGACATTTGGGAATTCAGAGACATCTCCAAGGAATTAAAAGGAAAAGAGGGTATTCGTCCATTTCTAGCAAAAGTTACGAGAAGTGTCTGCCATGTGTGTGGGGGTCTTACAGCTACGTGCGTATTTCCAGAAGGGGCGTGAGTTCCTTGATTCCTTCGAGAACATATGGAGCCTGTGTGTTTTAATTTTCTTCCCTGTCTGGTCCCCTTCGTAATTATTTGGTATCCATACGTACATACATAGACGAGAGGAAGAGTGTGTGTGAGAGAGGGTGGAGAGCGGATCTGGGCCATTAGGATCGCACGCGCGGGACGCAACTCTCCCCATTTGCTTTTTCCTGCAGCCCAGTGGGAAGCCGAAGACGTGCAGCGCAGAGCACAAATGTACGTGCGCAGCATATCAAATTTCCCCAAACAGAGAGAGCGAGGGGAAGGGTTTGCCGGGCCGCATCATCACAACTGCAAATGCACACCATCGGATCACCGTGACGGACCCCTTCTTTCTTCACCGCCTCCGTCTTCAAGTGCCCGCACGCCGGGGGAAGGGTCCGGAGGAGGGAGGGGCCGGTAATCTTGCGCCCCTCGCTGCGAGCAAGCGAGCTGGGCTTGTGGCTGGCGGCTCAACAGAAGCTTCTGGTGAAGGCCTCGTTTAGAGGTGCATTGTGGCACATTTCCGTTGCCCGTTACGGTGCAGCAGCGTCGATGTACAGATATGGAACCCGCTGATCCAGTCCAATCCTCCATCTTCTCGGCCGCAAAGCTAATGAATAATTGGACGCAAACCCTTGACCGCCCCGACCATCGACATTCGCCCTGCGTAGCGCCAACAGACTTCCTAATCTTGCCGGAGTTGCGCTATTCGTCTTTCGTGATAGTTCAGGGTGGCGCGCGGCAGGGCATGCGACTTTGACAGGCTTCCCGGAGGCTCACCCCGCTAGGCGTGTCATCATCGACGTTGCATACCGTTATTCACTAGGAGAGATTAGATGATGGCGAAGGCAACTTGGGGCGACCGGGGGAGCCAAGCCAAGGTGCAAGGGGAACACGAGGGATGAAGAGCTGCCGCCACGATGCGGCCACGAGACATGCGGCAAGCAAAGTGGTGGCAGTTGCAGGGCAGCGGGGGCCAGGGGTGAATATCTCCCGGGACGTTTCATTGCGTCGACGGCGCGCAAGGCGAAGGATGTATCCATAGGGTTGTGGTGTAGTTGTAGTAGTGTAATAAGACCAACGGCGGAAGCACGAGTTGCATCTCCCCGCTGCGCCGGGTCAACGGCTACGGCCGCAGACTAGTCGAGGCGATGCGATGCGATGCAATGCGGCTGCACGAAGCGAGAGGGGGGAGGGCGTCTGAGTTTCAACGTCGTTCTATCGGTGCCGCACCCCGGGGGAAAGGCAGCAGGCTTGAGAGTGGAAGGATGCATACTGCTAGTTCCAGGGACCCAGAGATACGGCCGCAACACTTGCAGGGCCCCTCATGTTGAAAGGAGAAGTCATTGGCCAGCGAAAAAAGGTCACCCACGCCCCCCTCTCCATCTAACCTCCATGAAGCGTCGAGACGAAGAGGATATTGTCACCGTTTTGGACTTCGTACGCCTCCTCTCCTTCGAGCTCCCAGTCTGCGTCATTGATGAGGGCAAGGATGCCAGGGCGACTAGAGAGACCTCATTAGCGTTGCATCCAATATAGCTACTCTGCACGTTCATCGCAGATTTTGAGAAAGACTGCAGAGTGGCGATATACGGCTTGCATAGGACAGGCAATATTGGGGTGAGAATAAGAGAAACAGAGAGCCAGGCGAGGCCGAAATGAAGATATGCCCAAGGATGGGGACGGCGCGTGGGTGATGCGACTCTAAGACGTACAGATGACCATCTAGGACGAAAAGCTCCTTTCTGGAGTCCTTCATCGTGTTCTCGCAGAGATAGTTGATGAGAAAGGCAATAGTTGCGGGCTTGCCGTCCTTGTTCACCGCCGGGATGGAGAGAGCGTGACGCCGCTGATCAGAGAAGAGCATCTCCAGGCCGCCGCTGCCCACCAGGTACCACGTCAGTTATGCATTCGTACCTGAATGATCTATGCAAGATACAAATGAAATCATGCTCGGATCGACCCCGTCAGCCTGCGTGGAAAGGTCTCAGGCCAGAGTCCGGGAGACGGTACCGGTCCAGAAGAAACACCTTGCTTGAGCCACAGGATGGAATAGAAGAGAGATGGGAGTACAGAGAGGTGAGCGGAGAATAGAGACTCACGAGAACTCAACGACGACGGCGATCTTCTCCCCCGCATCTGCAGCTTCTGCGGCCATTTCTTTTCTTTTGCGAGGCTTGGTACTATAAATCTCCCACGATACCCAAAGTGCCGGCAGCTGCGAGACGTCGGAGAATAGATGAAGAATGTGAGATGTAATGGTAATAAAGTTTGTTTGCTCGTCAGATTGAATCGCGGCACGGCACGGACAAGAGTGAGAAAGATGCAATGGGAGGAAGGATGGATGGCACGTCAGGCGTCTGTAAGGCACGGGGTATCTTCCATACCTTAGGTACACTGTCTAGTGTTCGGGGGGAGGGGAAGGCACTGAGCCCACGGATCAGGCAGTCGGGCTAGGGGCTCCGATGGGGAGCGCAAGCCTTACCGGATACCTGTGGAGCCAACGGTGCGGCGGCTCAAGCGCTGTAAGGCGGGCAGGCAAACAGGCGCCCCCCGAGAGAGATGCCCCGCCTCCACTAAGAAATTTTCAACTTCACCTCTTGACTTGTGACCCGTGAGCCAATCACATCGCCGCATTTTGTCAACCCTCAGAGTCACTCCTCGACGCAGCATCTCCAAGCGACGACGAAGAAGACGAAGAGAAAGAGACAATATGGCTGGCACACAGCCCTCAATAGAGTATCTGTCAACAGGAGCCAACAGGCAGACTGCGGTCGCCGACTGGAGCCCATGTGGTCTTCTTGCCTTTGGCGCTGACTGCAACATTGCCTTGTGGGCGCCGTCTGTAAGCCCTTTCCCCAGTCCGCTGCTTGATGGATTGATGCTGACGATTCATGAATCAGTCACGAAGTGCAGAGGGTATCACGACTCTCCTAAGTGGGCACAAGGAGGTTGTCAAAGCAGTCAAATTTCTGCCCCAAGTGGACGGTGAAGATCGCAGGCTCCTCATCAGTGGCTCAGATGACCAAACACTCAAGGTCTGGGCAGTGGACTCAAAGACGAACCAAGGAGAGTGCATTCAGACGGTCCACAATCATTCGGCGCCCGTGAACTGCATCGCCATCCTGCGGTCCAAGGGGACCCATAAGCAGGTTCTTCTGGCTTCAGGGGCTGCCGACGCAACCATCAAGATCTGGAAGCTTGACGGCAGCCAATTACAGCTGCGCCAGACTATCAAAACCGCCCCCAAGTACTTCCCCCTATGCTTGGCTCTCACAGCACTCGACGAGGCCGAAGATGTGTTTGTCTTGGCCGCAGCAGGAACAAAAACGTTTGTGCAAATATTCGTCGCCGCTGCTGACGATGAGACCGCCGACTTCAAGCTCCAGGCTACCCTATCAGGTCACGAAGGCTGGATACGATCCCTGGAGTTCACGTGGGAAAAGACAGAGGCGAATAGTGACCTGCTCCTCGCTTCGGCAAGTCAAGACAAGTACGTCAGACTCTGGCGTCTGCACTTGGGCAAGGAGTTGCCATCACTCGCTGCGGAAGGCTCAGATCCCTTAAGCGGTGCCTATCTGCCGGGCAAGTCCCCCTCAAATAAGGCACACCGGCTTCAATCCGCCGGCAAGGACTTCTCCATTACCTTCGAGGCCCTTCTTCTCGGCCACGAAGACTGGATCTACAGCGCAAAGTGGTTCACTAGCCGCGAAGGCAAGCTCCAGCTACTCTCCACTTCCGCAGACAATTCCCTCGCCATGTGGGAGGCCGACAGCACCTCCGGTATCTGGGTCAGCATGGTCAGGCTAGGCGAGATCAGCAGAGAGAAGGGCGCGACGACGGCGACGGGAAGCATCGGCGGCTTTTGGACAGGTCTCTGGGCACCCGACGGCGAGTCCGTCGTCTGCCTGGGCCGGACGGGCAGCTGGCGTCGCTGGGTCTACGACAACGAGCGCGACCAGTGGAGGAACGCCATCGCCGTCAGCGGCCACACCAGAACCGTCACGGGCATCGCATGGTCCCGCGAAGGGGACTACCTCGTGTCCACGAGTTCGGATCAGACAACACGTCTCCACGCCCGTTGGAAGCGCGGTGATGCCGTGACTGGCGCCCGCTCGTGGCATGAGATGTCCCGTCCCCAGATCCACGGCTACGACCTCAACTGCATCGACACTTTGGGCGCCTCTCAGTTCGTCTCAGGCGCAGACGAGAAGCTCATGCGTGTCTTCAGCGAGCCACGCGCCGTCGCCAAGATGCTGCAGACCCTCGGCGGAATCGAAAGCGGCGCACCCACGGAATCCATGCCAGACGGCGCCAATATGCCCGTGCTAGGCCTCTCCAACAAGGCTATTGACGCCGTCGACGACGACCAGGAAGTACAAGCCGACGACCAGTACGACCGCGAAGCCGTTGACCCGGCCACTGTCGTCCGCAAGTCCATGCTCGACATTGACCACCCGCCCTTTGAAGAGTCCCTTTCGCGGCATACTCTCTGGCCGGAGACGGAGAAGCTCTACGGCCACGGCTACGAAATCTCCTGCCTAGCCGCCAGCCACGACGGCAAGCTCATCGCCAGCGCCTGCAAGGCGAGCTCTCTCAACCATGCCGTCATCCGCGTCTTTGAGACGGAGCGCTGGACCGAGGTCAGGCCACCGCTGGCGGCGCACACCCTGACCGTCACGAGGCTGCGGTTCTCCCCAGACGACCATTTCCTCCTGAGCGTGGGCAGAGACCGGCAGTGGGCCGTCTTCGAGCGCGGGAGCGATGGGCAGCAGTATTCCCTCCTCCAAGCGAACCCCAAGGGCCACACGCGCATGATTCTCGACGCCGCGTGGGCGCCTCTGTCGCTGAGTGATGGTAATAGCAATAGGGTGTTTGTTACGGCGGGACGTGACAAGAACGCCAAGGTCTGGGTTGGCAAAGAGGCCGCAAAGGATGAGCAAGGCGTCAGCAAAATAGAGTTCACCTTGGCTTCGAGTATTGCCTTTGACGGGCCCGTCACGGCCGTCGACTTCCTCGGCAGACGGGGTGCCGGTGGTGAGCTTGTCCTTGCCGTCGGCACCGAGTCTGGCAAGATCTCTCTTTGCACGCTGGCCCCTGACACTGTCCAGCCGGTCGACACACTCCAGCTTGCGTCGAGGTAAGTTTCCCCTCGTAACTCTGTTTAGTGTAACTTGAACACGGTAGCTGACCTCTCACCTCAAAGCCTATGCCTCCCGAAACCCGTTTCCCAACTCGCATGGCGACCATCAAAGAGCGATAGCAGCACAGACGAGTTGGGCATCGCAGGTGAAGATAGCTCCCTGCGCGTATACAGCTTCACAGGATTAGGCGCGCCGTCCAGGTCCAACGAATGAATGAAATGAAGTTTACGTTTTGAAAGCACTCGTTGATACCCTAGTAGACACCTATAAGACGCTTGAGATCCGAGTCCTATGCATGTATGAATGGATATGAATTAAAAGACACGCGTCGCCGCATGTGGTGCAAGTTTATAGTATGTATATGTATATGCCTTTTCGTATCCGAACCTGAACTCAATGCACTTGGTTCATATTAAAAAAGAAACCCCAATGAAACGCCCGCATCAGAAGCGAATAAACGACATTTTCCGCGCTCAACATGCGACACGCCCTTCGAGCTCTTCATCGGGCGGTCCGGTCGTCCATGTCTCGCCATTAAGATCCTCCTGTCCCACTCCCTCGTTCGTTCTCTGACTCTCCTCCCATTCGTTCATTCGGCATGCATCGTTTTCATGTCATAGAAGGTTGCCGACTTGCCTGCAGGGCAAGGGATGCACAAGCCCCTCCTTCATGAAGTGAAGAGAGTCTTTACAACTCCTTGACGAGCTCGACAGTCTGCTGAGCCAGCGCGGCCGCAGTCGTACCTGTCTTCTCGGCCATCAGCACGCTCTCGACGGCGGCCTTTGTGAACTCGACAGCATCTACCACGGTGTCGACGACGGCGTCGATCGGGTCGCCGTGCATGTAGAACCAGGCGCGGCTCATGAGGAAGGCGATGTGCTGAGGCAGGTAGAGGACGGTGGCGATGATTGTCAAGCTGCTGAGGAGGAAGAGGACGGTGTCTGCAAGAAGGGGGGTTTGTTAGCCGGACGGATCTTTCTGGTTTCTGCGAGAGGAGAGATGGCGGCAGCTGTTTGTCGTCGCGAATAGGTTTAGAGACGAAGAGCGAGGGTAGAAGAAACGTACAAAAGATGAACTTTTCCAGGGGCGTGAAGATGTACACGCTGAAGGTGACCTCGATCTGGTACTGCTTCAGGTGCAGCCACTTGCTGAAGGACTGGAGGGCCGACATTTTGTTGTTTTTCTCGTACGTTCTCAGGTGAATGCTCCAAGATATTTTCTGAGATTGAGAGGAGGAGTCTTCGCTCGCTCGGTTCTCGCGGTGTTTGACGGAGGTTGAGAGTCGCGGCGGCGGCGGTCGCGGGTTGAAAAAAGGAGGTAGGCGATTTCTCGAAGTCGTGGTAAGGATTGAAAGGTCTACTCTGCCAATTCGTTCATAAAAGGTCGTGTTGACGTCCGTCGTACAGAATGCTGAACAGCCTCTGTAGAATCCGTCTTTTGCGGCGAGAGGGATCGAAGGGAAGTTTGCGGGATCAGAAAAGGCGTACTCTAAGGATATCGTCCGAGGACGGGGTTTGCGCGGGACGGGGGGTGAGGGAATCTTATCAGTGAAATTGGTGGCCCGCCCACGCGACAAAACACCCAACAGTGACTGAGCAAAGCACCACCGCCAAAAAGCTGTACCCGACAGATCCGCAAGGGAAGAAGCACTGACGGGGAAAGGAGAGAAGAGTTGGGTTCCACAATGCCAGCAAAGTAAAAGTGGGGGGATTAATTTACAGGTCGCCCTCCAGTAAAGACTGAGTAAACTCAACCTCTCATTGGCCGCCTCACCTCCCCAAATCCTCCGAACCAGCAGTTCAGCACAACTTCTCTGATCTCGACACCTGGGCACCTGGGCTAATCGTCATGCACCTCCCGTTCGGCCTCCAGCCGTCCGCCGGCTGCTAACACTCCACATCCGAACCGGGCCCAATGCTGGACAACTGCCCGGCCCACCACGCGCGCCGTGAAGCAACGAACCTCGAACCTACGAAACCTCACCAGCAAGCCTCACCTCGAACCGTCACTCCATCACGCCGCAGCCCACGGACAATGGCCCGGCGCGCGCGATGCCTCCCCCTCTACCCCTTCTAACCCGTCTCCCCCTCCAGGCGGGCGCATCCAACGCCAATGCCTTTATGCGCCGAGGCCCTCCCACGGCGGCGAGGCCGGCGCTGCTGCTCCCGCTGCCGTCACTACCATTGCCCCTCGTCGCCCTCTTCACCACATCCCCCTCCGCGTCGCTAAAGAGGCACCAGATGCCACCTCGGCCCAAGCCCCCTCCAGACTCCGACATCGAGGAATCTTACCTCAAAGGCAGCGGGCCGGGTGGTCAGAAGATTGTACGTGTAGAACCCACTGACCCGAGTCGTACCTTGGGCCTTTCGCTTGTCCTTTTCTACCAACCAATGCAATGCAATGCGGCCGACACTCGAGCCTGATGCGACTCGGTTTAGACCGCATGACTGACTAGGAGCTTGCTTCCCGTCATGGTCTTCTTGTACTGACCACCCCACCTTTCCTACAGAACAAGACGAGCTCGGCCGTGCAGCTCAAACACATACCCACTGGCATAGTCGTCAAGTCCCAAGCCACCAGATCCCGCTCTCAGAATCGAAAGATTGCCCGCGAAATCTTGGCCGAAAAGATTGATAACCTGCAGAATGGCGGCCAGAGTCGTTCCGCCATTGTCGGCGATGTGAAGCGCAAAAAGGCCGCCAGTGCATCCAAGAAGAGCAAGAGAAAGTACCGTCAGCTTGAAGAGGAAAAAGCAAATAGTGAGGCGAGCGAAGACGGAGCTAGCGAAGAAGCTGTTCAAGACGAGACGAACGGCGACCCAAGCTCTGAGGAAGTAAAGACCTCCCATACAGCTGATCCTAGTTCCATTGTACAAAGCAAAAACCCGTAACATCAAACATTACTTCGTTGCACAAAGCAAAATATGTATCAATAGATCAGTCCATTTCTACTCCTGGCTAAAGCATTCTCGTGAAATTATAACATCACTAAAAAAGCGAGCGTGCGAAACTCGGGAACAGTAAGCAAAGTGTATTGTATGATCGACCTCAGTTGCAGGCGTATCCGCCCCTATACGCGCCCACGCGCACCCTGCTACAAAACAAGGACCAAATCTTTCTGGAGAAGGGTCGACCCAAACTTCTTGACCATGTCAACAACTTTTCGCCAATATAGGACCTGACTGCGGTATATGCAACGCCGTGGAGACCTTGCACCGGTCGTTGCCTCTTTGGAATCGATGTGTTTTCGGAAGGGCGAGAATGTGATTCGGGAAGTAAGACGCTACATTATCATCAGCTCTTGCCGCATGCTGTAGTTTCGCTGCGCCGTCGCCATACCTTAGAAGCACTTGCGGTGGACAATGGAGGGACCGCTCTCGTCGTACTCCTGCTTGGAGATCCACATCTGCTGGAAGGTAGAGAGGGAAGCCAAGATGGAACCACCGATCCAGACGGAGTACTTGCGCTCGGGGGGAGCGATGATCTTGACCTTCATGGAAGAAGGAGCAAGGGAAGTGATCTCCTTCTGCATACGGTCGGAGAGACCAGGGTACATGGTGGTACCACCAGACTGTAGAATCGTTAGTTACTGGAGCTAGATACTGGAACTGCCGTAGAAACCATACCATGACAATGTTGCCGTACAGGTCCTTACGGACATCGACATCAGACTTCATGATGGAGTTGAAGACGGTGACGTGGATGCCGCCAGACTCAAGACCAAGGACGGAAGGAGCGAACAGAGCCTCAGGGGCACGGAAACGCTCGTTACCGATGGTGATGACCTGACCGTCGGGAAGCTCGTAGGACTTCTCCAAGCTGGAGGACTGGGAAGCGGTCTGGAGCTCCTGCTCGAAGTCGAGGGCGACGTAGCAGAGCTTCTCCTTGATGTCACGAACGATTTCACGCTCGGCAGTGGTGGAGAAGGAGTAACCGCGCTCAGCGAGAATCTTCATGAGGTAGTCGGTCAAGTCACGACCGGCCATGTCGACACGGGCAATGGCCTGGGGAAGAGCGAAACCCTCGTAAATGGGGACAACGTGGGTGACACCATCACCGGAGTCGAGGACGATACCAGTGGTACGACCGGAGGCGTACAGAGACAGGACGGCCTGGATAGAGACGTAGAACGCGGGGGCGTTGAAGGTCTCGAAGACGATCTGGGTCATCTTCTCTCTGTTGGACTTGGGGTTGATGGGGGCCTCAGTCAACAGGACGGGGTGCTCCTCGGGGGCGACACGGAGCTCGTTGTAGAAGGTGTGGTGCCAAATCTTCTCCATGTCATCCCAGTTGGTGACGACACCGTGCTCGATGGGGTAGCGGAGCGTCAGGATACCACGCTTAGACTGTGCCTCATCACCGACGTAGGAGTCCTTCTGACCCATACCGATCATGATACTGTGCACATGTTAGGTCGCAGCGCAGGAGATGGCATTGCCGCAGCAAGAGATAGACCTACCCATGGTGACGGGGGCGACCGACAATGGAGGCTAGTGAACAGTTAGAATCAACAATCTAGGGTATGGTGACCGAAATCGTATGCCCCTGACGGAGAAGATTGCGGTCTGCGGATGAGGGGGAACTTACGGAAGACAGCTCTGGGCGCATCGTCACCGGCGAAACCGGCCTTGCACATACCCGAACTGGGAACAAGTCAGAACCAAACTCATTGTAGGATATATTGTATCGATGGGTCATATGCCAATGGGTTATCGCGAGGGATGACGATTGGCCAGATCCCTTCTTGGGCCTAGGAGGCGGAATGGTCGGTGAGACGGCGGGGAAGCTTACCCATTGTCGATAACGAGGGCGGCGACCTCCTCTGCAGAGATATATGTTAGCAAGTGAAGCAGAAGGACGGATATTGATGGACTAGAGCATCGCGACTCCGATGAGGCCAGGGGATGTGAGGCGGCATCGGCGTCGTGGAGCAGGGAGTAAATTGCTGGCAGAGGCGGAGATGGCGTCACGTACCTTCCATTTTGAATTAGGATGTGGGTGAGGACTGGGAAAATAGAAGAAAGATGGATGAAAACGAAGACAGCTCACTCGATTCCGGAATCGTAGGAGCGAGATGGAACTGGCAAAAGTCCTGAGCGGATGGCAAAGAACTTGGGAGAGGGCGTCGTTGGGTGGTGAGGTCGAAAGTGGGAAAGGTTACGGGAAGATGAGAGGTAGTCGATTTTGGGTGGAGGAGGGGGGAAGAAGGAGAAGAGTGGGAATGGCAGGCACAGTGTGCGGTGAGCGCTGGCTTTGGCTCCTCGGTGTTTCGTTGGCTGCTGCGATTTGTCTGGCGGGCCAGGTTTCGATGTCAGAAAGCAGCTGGAGACCTAACCCGACTTGTGGGTGAGCAAATGGACGTGGTGAGGTGGGCAGTGGGCTGGGCAAGAGCGTGGAACAGGTGGCAGAAAGTGGCAGCGCCCCCCGAGGGATTGAGTTGCCGCTTTAACAAAGGAATGGGAAAGGTGGGAAGGGGAGGCTGCGCGTTCTCTCTCGCCTCTTTCTCCCCGTCCCCCGTCCTCTTCGGGGATGGCCCGTGCTTTTGCTCCTTTGCTGCTCGGGGGGGCTAACTGCGCAAGACTGGCAAAGTAGTGTGGTGGGGTACGGGAGGGAACACACTTTCACTCACTCACTCACTCACCCTTTTTTTGGTGATACTGGGGTGCGAAGGCAAAGAGGAACCTCTGATATTGCAGACGAGATGCGCGACCCTCCGAGTATCCGTATTGTCTTCTTTTCTCCGGCCTGGACCGCTGATTCCGGTGGCTAAAGTCGAATTGGGGGTCGTGCCTTCAATTTGGTCTTGATGTTGGTGGGCAATGCAAATATCCCGTCGATGCTCGGATAAGTGCACTTTTACTGAATTCTCGGAGCAGGTATCGTATCCGAACGAATTGCTCCTCAGTCGTTTCTTGCTGTATTCAATACAGCAAACAATAATACCAACAAGAAGCCCGTCAGTCTCCGTGCCTTATCTATCACTTCGAACAATCAGGCAGTGACTATTGAAGCAAATAGCATTCGTCAGCCTATCCGTCACTCACCATCTGCTCTTCAGGCAGCTTAAAACCGACGGTGAGAGATGCTCACCTAATACCCTTCAGCTCTCCACGGTCTCGACCACGGACCAATCGAGCCAAGCTACAGGCCTGACAGTGCGCCTTTCTCAATCCGACTGTGACGCCTCTATTATCTTCAAGGGCATCCCCACATCCACCACCTGCACGCACGCTACGGTCTAATGAGAATACAAGGTTAACCCAGGCCAAGAACATGGGATCATGGGAGCCAGCCTGGCCGAGATCATCTCGCGCCGGAGAGCAGTTGGGCAAGGAGGACAGCGTTGCAGCACGGCAGGTAGCGGACACAGTATCGCGAATCCATCCCATCTCCTCATGGACTGTGGAACGGAGGGCCGCTCCTCGACGCCCACGTGAGACTCTCAACAAGATTCCCGCCGCGGCCGCCTGGTTCATGCTCGATGGCGGCGGGCGGATTTGCGCCAACAAACCACATGCCAGCCGTCCTATTGCTCGTCCATTCGTCAACGAGTCGTACGTCATCTTGTTCCGTAAGTAACAAAGACACGGACAAAGGTGCCAAGCAGGCATAGGCAATCTATTTTGGTTCACAGCACCATTACCTGCCTCCTTCCCTTCGTCTGCATAGCATACATAGGTAGCACGTCGGGCCCGCGGAAGCAAAGGCGGCGATGAACGGGCACGGAAGCACAGCAGACGGACCAGGCAATTTGGCAGGTACCTCCAGGCTCCAGGCACCCCGAAGCCGACACCACCGAACGACGGGCCTACCAAGCTGCCTCCTGGCTCCTGCAAGGGCCGTACTCTCATGGACACGGCTTGATGGGGTCGCGGCTCTGGTGGTTCAAATTACGTACCCGCGTATGGACGCCTTTTGCGGGAACGAGAGCCCGGGGTCCTAGGGGGTTAGTTGGCATGGGATTCTCGGATGCCAGCCTCGCATATCGCATCTCGCATACATGCTCTGGGCTGGAACCTCGTTCACGGGCTCGCTCTCGTCTTCGACATGTACCTGCCGATGCGTGCTGTGTCCATAAATTGTGTTTCGAGCTTTGTGTGGGAAGCCCAACAAGAAACAGCGCGGGCGACAACTACACGCCGTGCTACGTTTCCAGTGTGGCTGAGCTGGGAGCTCCGGGTTGCCGGGCGGCGTCTCCGTTGATCGGGTCCTTTTAGCATAGATCGGATAGGAGAATACGGCGGAAGCTGTAACCTGTCATATGTTGCGGGGACGCTATGCCTGATTGCTGCATCCTGTCAAGCGAGGCATGCAATATCGACATGAACGATCAGAAAGGCTTTCAGATAATGAAAGGATGCAAGGCTGAGAAGCCTGGGGTTATCCAAAGCTGGATACAGCAAATTCGAGTTGCCAGGTCTCGTGTGCTCCAGTGACTTCATCGCTGGAAGGTTACTCAGCTCAGCGTCGCAATACCTACCATAGCTTGGGTACCTCGAGGAAGCTCTGTCCATGGCCACCTCAAGTTAAAGCGGCAATGAGGGGCAACTCACTTCATGGTGGGGCAGTTGGAACTTTTTTTTGGTTCACGTCTTTTTACCAGCCACCTCACTACAGTAGGAGACTGTCTTCGACCATTCCCTCGACGAGCCCAAGACTTCCGGATCCAGAGTCCGGGAGGGTATCCAATGTTTGACTGGCAGATGAATTGCCAACTCAGCCGATTGCATGATCCCATTGTTGGGCTGTAAGAGATTCGCTGGCCACAAGTCTGTCTGCCCAAGTTTCAAAAGACTCGAGCTGCATAAACGACGCATTGAGCTGGCTTTGATCAGGGCTCCTCACGTGAGATCGACGCTAGTCCGCTTTCAATTGCTGGCAAGCTTCTTGAAGGTTCCAGAAAAGGGTAGCAAATCAGAAGCAGCCAGTCAGAGCGGGAAGTGGCTCTTGATGATGGAGAACTTTTTGATGTTGATGAGAGTTCAAGTGAGAGTGAGTGACAGACTGGGAGTTGATAGCAAACAAACTCTACACATCAACACAATACACACTTTTCAAATTTCTCATTCAAACTTGCAGCAAGTTTGGTGAGTCGTCACAAGGTTTCATTATTTCAAGAGACCACTCCAAACAACTACACCTCCAAAAACTCACCGCAAACTATCCATCATGGGTGACAAGCACCTCAACGAGCTCCTCAAATGGAGTATCGAAAACCAAGAAACCAGCGGCGAGAACGGCACCTCAGCACCCGCCGATGCCACCGCCGTAAGAGCGCCCGCCAGCACCCTCAACCCCGAGGCCATCGCAGCCCTCTTCGGCAACGGCCCCAGCGACGCCGAGCTCATGAAGCTCTCCATGGAGGCAATCACCTCCCCGGACCCGGAAATCACACTCGACAACAAGCTCATCGCCTTTGACAATTTCGAGCAACTCATCGAGAACCTCGACAACGCAAACAACATCGCCAACCTCGGCCTCTGGACCCCGCTGCTCTCCTGCCTCGAGCACGAGGCCCACGAGCTGCGCCGCATGGCCGCCTGGTGCGTTGGCACCGCCGTCCAGAATAACCTGCCCAGCCAGGAGCGCCTGCTCGCCGTGGGCGGCATTCCGCCCCTTGTGGCGCTCGCGACCAAGGACGGCGAGGAGGAGGCTGTGAGGAGGAAGGCCGTCTACGCGCTCAGCTCTGCCGTGCGGAACTACCAACCCGGCGCGGACGTTCTCACGGACGAACTGCAGAAGAAGGGCCTGCGTAACGGCAAGGTTGACGCTGAGAACATGGATGACATTGACGAGATTATGAATGCGCTCAAGGCCAAGATCACGGCATAGACAAAAAGGAAATGCGAGAAAGGAATGGGTATGGGGTGGATTTGGTATGGTTAACTTGCATGGACGGCGTTTCGGCGGGTGGATCGGCATGAGGGCTCTTTTGACGTACGGGACGACGACCCAAAGGAACATGGCATTATGGTATTAGACGATCATTATCGCATCAGATGAACCAAGAACATGATCACACAATTATTGCACAGAATACATCGCAAGAGTGACCGTATCTGTTGGTACATTCATATACAGGCTTTCTAAATGTGTTGATATCGTACAAAACGGGATACCCCTTCCCAGCAATGTTCCCCCTTCTTTAATCCTTGAACTTTCCGTAGAAAGGAAGACCAAGAGCTTGCATCAGAAGCCTGGCCTGACGGTTCGAGGTTGCGCTTGTGTGGATAAAAATATGGCAACCTGGTAGGAGCTGCAGAGACTCGTCAGCAACGTGGTCACAAGTCATAGGCAGACGGAATATCTCACCTTGGCAGGGTACATGTCGTAGTTGATCTGAAGCTCGGGAAACCAGACCAGGTCGTCGGGCCTCAGACCGATACCAATACCACCGTTTCCGTCACCAGTGGTCGCATTGACACCGGGCCAGTCCTTGATCTTGGGCAGGACGAGGTTGATCAGCTTGTCAACGAACTCGTACGCCTGTGGACCGTGCATGGTCGTCTTGACACCGGTCTTGTCGCCCTCGCGGATCTTCCATTGGATAACGTTGTTCTTGGTCTTGGTGACCTCGGGGACGTTGCCGCTGATGGACTGGATGACCGAACGAGCGACCTGGAGCGTTCCCGGCGCCTTGGCGGCCGAGGGGATGAAGGTGTGCAGCGATACGGCCAAGATTTCGGGGACGGACCGGCAGTCAATGTTCTTCTCCAACACGTCGAGCTTGCTTCCACCTCTGGGTCCGCGGAGAGGACGGTTCTTGTTGTACGGCGAGGAGTCGTCCCATGCCCTTAAACGCTCCCGTACCGGGGGGTCTGGTGTACCTGGGGGCTTGTGAAGGTAGGTCATCGTGAGCAGGTCGGCGGCGATGGTCGTATCGTACGTCTGGCGCAGTCTGGGGAGGTTGAAAGGCCCAGGAACGAAGTCGCGGGCCGTGGGATCGGTGGAGGGCGGTGATTGAATCGGGTGAAGAGGACCTCTGTCGTACTTAGGGGGATGGTACTGGTATCTGTCGCCTCATCTATTAGCATTCCGCTTCACGCTGTAATGTGAGCTTCCATGCGCACCTGTTTCCGGGAAGCTGCTGCGGTCTGTCAGCCAAGCGCTTCGCCGTGTTGAAAGCTTGAATGGCAGCATCGTCAGGACCAGGAGCAGCCAGGGACGAGGTCTCAAGATCAGGGAACTGAGCCTCAGCGGCAGCGGTAGATTCGCATCGCCGGGCGACAAGAGGGGTCAATTGCCATGGCGAGCGCTGCCTGCAGACGAACCGAGTTAATCGGGAGCTTTCCCGTAGAGTGGCCATGGCTAGTCGTTCAACTCTGACGCAACCTGACACGTCTGTAAGGGTAAGTCGCGATGCTCGAAATTTCAATCTCGAAATGCTCAGTTCGGCCCGTGCCACTTGTGGCTGATGCGATTTTTAAAGTGGATCTTCCAGCTCAGTTCTGGGAATAACGTGTGGCTTGATCTTTCTGCATCTTTAAAGCCTGGATCTCCAGGCGACTGGATGCGGAGTGACATGGGAATGTCACTCGGGGGCCGTCGGAGCGAACGTGACCAGCAGCCTCCGGACTTTCGGGCCTTCAAGCTCAGTTTGTGGTCGTTGCACTGTCGTCATCAGGAACCAGGCCGCCGTCCGCGGGACACCCTCTATTGAGCTTCGGACTATGGTGAGGCACCGACGATCCATTCTACTAGAGCGGGTAAATCGTGCACGCAGCTCGATTACGTAGCAGTCATTCGGGCCCTCAGCTGAATCCAATGTCCATCAGTCACCAGCTCAATGGGTCAGCAAGCGCGCGTTCGGTTGCAGAAGCTGGAGCATTGCTTTCCGACTAAGGTACGCGGAGCTGACAGGGTGGGGAGACCACTGTAGCAAGCAGCACCCTCGGACATGAACAGGCAAAGATGGGACGGACAGATGGGCAACGATGAGCAACGATGAGCAACGATGGGCGTTGTGTGCCTCTTGCCCTCTTCGATGTGCGGCGGCGGCGCGCGCTAACATGCAGGTTGCCTGATTGTACCCAAGATGGACGCGAAAGCGAACCTATACAGGTTACGCGAGCGCTTTTCATCGGATTGGAGCTGACTTTCAGTGACTGATCAACATCCAACACACACAAGGCGGGGGCTGGCAGATGGTGCGACAAAGTTTCCATTCATTGTCAAGAGGCTTTGCTCTTTCTTTTCCGATCGTTGAGCGTTGCTATGGGTGCGGGAGTGTGTGTAAGCGCTTTGCTTCTGCTGCTAAGTTAGAGTTGAGCCTCTGGGGTGGCTCAGTGAAAGACACTCGTATTGTTTTCGTTCATCTAGCTGTTCTTCGTCTGTTCTTGGCGAAGCCTGTTCAATGTAAAAGAAGGCCATGAACATTGGACCAGGAGGCTTATGAAACCAGGAGCATGGGCCACAGAGCCATGATATCGGATCTACTGCGCACGCATGGAAGCAAGGGACGCTCCAGGATGTGTCCCATAGGGTATCATTCGGGACCTGATAAACCACCTCGAAACAAGAGGCGAGACTTGACGAGAGTCACGTCCGGCCTAAAATGTTCTTGTGCAGGCCATGTCAAGACTTCTGCTCAACATTTCCCATTGTGACTAGGGGATCGAATGACCAGCAATTGAAGCGATGGGCGACTTGCCACTTTCATCTTGTTAAATGGGCAGCCTAAGTCAATTTCGGATGTTCCTCCCACGAAGGACAGGCCCTTACGTATGTCACCTCGCGTGGACATGGGATGTTGGGGCAGGCTACTTTTACTCATATTCGGAGCCTGGTCGGTCATATGTAAGAATTGTGGCAGCCAAGCACGCTCAAGAACATTCTGGCTGTTCCCTTGCTATTACACTCCGGGTTATGCTCCCATCTCACCACGTAACACACTTCGTCTGCTGCCAAGCGAAAAAGCCTATACCACAAAAGGCCAGCTAGAAGAAGGACAGGTCAGCTCGGAGTCACGGTCATCTTGGATACGTCGTGTTCGCCTGTCCAAGGTAACAGTAACAGCAAGCAAGCAAACCTGAAAGTCCGCCTTGCCGCCACCCTCCACCGACCTGGCGCTCCCAAACCCCCGAGTCAACTGACGGCAAGTCCGCAAGGGACGCCGAGTGTCCCCAGCAGAAAGTTGAAGTGGAAATCTCTCAGGGGTCCCAAAGTACCGCCTCACCCAAGCTTTGCCGCGCCGGTACGAATACACGCCCTTCCACGGTCCGTCCACTTGGTGCCTCTCCACACGACCAATACACCGTGGGCACCCACGGCACCCTGCCAAAGCTGCTGCTCACATTGGACCCCGAATTTTCTGAGCCAAATCCACGAACCACCACCATCTGACCCTTGTTGGCGCCAGGAGCCAGTCGAAGGTCCTTCGCTACCTTTATTGCTTCAGCAGTCCCCCGTGTGTTCAACCATAGGACCTCGTCTTCTCACTTCCAGTCTGCTTCTTCTTGTTATTCACTTCGAACCTAAGCAACAAAACAAGCAGTATATCTCTTTGGCGTTCGAGAATCGAGCTTGTCTACTTGGCAGACAACAGGGACTTGATCAACACTCATACCCTGCCGTTGCAGGCCATCACAATAGCGAAAACCTATCACTCTGCTACTACATCGGACAGCCCAGAGTCCAGACCTGACCATCCCAGCGGCCCAGCCCCGTCTTTTGCGACTGCGAAAATCTGCCCCGCCGACACGCGCCAGAACCCCTCCATACCTATCCTCGCACTCGGTGCATTCTTCATCTTCTCTCAGCTTTGCTCCCCACCTCGCCCACTCCCGTATTGCTGGCCGATGGGGGTGCGACTTTCAACCTGGCCATGATTCTTGACTGCTGAGACGACTGCTTTCCTCGAGTCGCCGAGCCACTTTGGCACCAAAATCGCGAACCTAGCTATTCCAGCTTTTGGCAACATACAGGATCTGCAACCATGAAGGGCAAAAAGTTTCTTAGCCTGCGGGACAGGAGTGGCACGCATCGCAGAAGCAAATCCTCAGAACCAGGGCAAAAGGTGAGCTTCGTATCCCAGGAACTGAAGATGGTCCTTTCTCAAAGTCCGTTTCCATGGGGACAGCCACACTAATCCCACGTCGCCAAACCTAGAACCGACCACTTTCAGCTGAAGCATTCAGGTCGCTTTTCAAGAGCGATCGAGCACCGACCGATGAGGAAATAAAGGAGAAGGAGATGACCAAGGTACACCAACCGCAGCATTACAACATTGCACAAGTCTAACAAGGCCATAGATCGAAGACATTACGCACCTTCTTGCCGAGTCGAACATCACCGACGTTTCTGCGGAACACATTCGAGACTCCCTGAACAGTAAATTCGCTGACGGCGATGTCGACAAAACCGTCGAGTTCATTCAGCTACAGTGCAAGGCAATGGCCGGCAAGGTTGCACACTACAACCCCCAAATCGAAATGGTTGGCGCAGAGAATAGGGGTAACGTCACATGTTACCTTGACTCCCTGTTGTTTGCCATGTTTGCGAAACTGGACGCTTTCGAATGTATGCTGAAGAACGAATTCACGGACGAACCGAGGCGCAAACTAGTCACGCTGCTCCGCTTGTGGGTGAACATGCTCAGGAGCGGAAAGATGATTCACGCAGATATGGTGAGTTGCGGCTGGTCCTGCGGTACCTGTCCTGCGCTAATCGTCCCAGACGAAACTGATACAGGATGCGCTGGCTGAGTGCGGCTGGAGTGACGCGAAACTCCTAGAACAGCAAGACACTTCCGAAGCCTTCGCCTTCGTCACCGAAACGCTTCAATTGCCCCTGTTGCAATTACAAGTCGACCTCTTCCACCAAGGCAAGAACGATAAGGACGACCACAAACTGGTCTACGAAAGACTTCTCAACCTCGCCGTACCTCCAGATTCGGAAGGCAAAGGGATCAGGCTAGAAGACTGCTTGGAAGAATACTTCAACACACAAGTTGATGTACTCAGGGACAGCCACGAAGATAAGAAAGAGGCGGAGAGGGTAACCCCGAACACAGACGCGAATGGGATACGGATTGTCACTCAAGAGAATGAATTAGAGGCTGGCGCGCAAGACACGCTGAGTGCGTCTCCCGCGCAGCTTTCTCCAATTCTTGAGCGGCGGTGGACAGCCTCGCAAACACCCAATGGCGTGCCGGAGTCTCCTAGCAGCTCTTCGCGGCCAACTCCAAGACACCGTTCAACTAGCGTTATACAACGCGTGGTGCTGGAGGAGAAGGACAAAGACAAGGGAAAGGAGACCGAGCCATCTACCATGCTGGAAAAGGCGCGACGAACAAGCTCTACAGTGGTGAAAGCCGTGACAATTCCAGCTTGGCAGTTTTTCAGATTGATTCCATGGCACGCCGCCGGAAACAAGGAGCCCAAGAACGACATGGAGGTTGCTATGAACTTCAACCAACGTCCTGTGGTCGGTATTTGCCTGAAGCGGTACATGATGTCGAACTCCGGTGTTCCACAGCGCCAGAATACCTTCATCGATATTCCGGACAGCCTGAGGCTTCCGCACTTCATGCTCGGCGACGAGACACAGCTTGAGGAAGACCCCAACGGCTTCAGCATGGAATATAAGTTAGTGCTACAGTCTGTGGTCTGTCATCGTGGCGACTCTGTCTACAGCGGACACTATATCTCATTCGCCAGGGTGGCGCCCAAACTCCTCACCGACAATAGGAGACACGACAATGACCCCCCTCCAGACTACGAGGAGGCGCAGTGGGTCAAATTTGATGACTTGAATATCGAAAACAGGGTGACTTATGTGGACGACATCAAGCAAGCTTTGAAGGACGAGATGCCTTATCTCTTATTCTACCAGATCGTACCAATGGTAGAGGTGGCGTCAACGGAAGAGACGGAGACTGAGCCTCCTTCTTACAACGAGTCCAAGGTCAGCGTCAACCTACCGGCTACACCGAACCCGGTCAACGGCAACAACTCCGGAATGTCATCATCGCGGAGCGACTACTTCGAGAACACCTCAATATCTCCACCCAAAGCGCCTAGCATCCGCTTTTCGTCGGAATTGGAGCGTCCTAGTCGCATAAGTTTCGGCGATGACGAGCCGTACTTGGGGTTCAAGGATTCTCGAAGGGGCAGTGTTACCTTCACGGACTCTACCCTAGGCACGCCAGCAATCACGCCGGATGCCATATCGCCCGCCGTAACCCCAGGAGAAGAGACGACAGCCCAACGGCTTTCGCGAGCCGCCGCTCTATTTACGGGCAAGAGCAAGAGCAGACCTACCAGTCAAGCAGGAGAGGGCCGCATCAGTCTTACCATGACTCGACTCGGCGGACTCATGCGACCGAGCAAGGAGCCGCTCCGTGATCCCAACAGCAACTTGAGCAGCAACGCGCTCGCCACATCCATCAGCGCACCTATTCCTGATCCGGTGACTGAGGAGGAATTCGTAGAGAACGCTGATGCCGAAGCAACACCGGTTGCGGCACCAGTTGCAGAGACCGACAGGAAAGACTCCAAGGATTTCAAGGAAAGAAAGTCATCAGAGCACCATCACAGGCATCACAAGAGAGGCAAGTCCAAGAGCCGTTCTACCGAAAAGAAGAAGCACAAGGACGGGGATGAGCCGGAGCGAGAGTGTGCAGTGATGTAAAGACTTTTCCGACGACAGATTAAAACAGACCAAAGACGAGCGACAGTCAGAGAGAGAGACAGAGTTATTAGTTTACCAGCGCGTTGATGTGATTGGGATTAGATTTGACGAGAGCTTGTCTCGGCCCTGGAATAGCGAGGAGTTTGGTGGACCGAGATAGACTTTGGAAGCAGCAGAGAAGAGGTACATACTTTGCAGTGTGAATGACTCTGCGAGAGACGCCGCAACGCCTGCGGATGATTAGCAGCACGAGAAGGGCGTTTTCCGGAGTTTTGTGTTGTTTCCTTTCGGGACGATGAAAAGAAGAAAACGGAATACCACGGAATTGGAAGCAATGCGAGAGGGAGTCGATGAGGTGGTTATCCATCCCCCCCTCTACACACCACAGATAGCTTGGGATAAAATAATACTGTTGATGACTGGGTCGTCATTCATCAAGATTCAGCTACCTGACCTAGTTTTCCCAGTTTTTGTTCCCATGTGTTGACGCGTTTGAGTAACCGAATAACCGAATACCATGTTTCCTGTTTCCCCGTCATTGACTGGATTGGAAAACGACGTCCAGAACGTAGGACGCAAAACAAGAGTTCATCGTGGGCAAAGTTATCCCACGGTACGAGCAAATTTTGATGGGGGTTTCCCATCCGCAGTAGCAAACTTCCGATCCGTCGTCCTCTCTCTCTCTCTCTCTCTCTCTCTCTCTCTCTCTCTCTCAAAGCCTAATGTTCTTCCTTCCACGTTCGCTCTGGTCCACTGAACGAGAGAGGCAGGGAGATATATAAGCCTCCCAACATCCTTTTCGTTGTTTCAAGCAAAGTAATAATCAGTGGACCAATCGAGCTTCCAAAAAAAAAAAGTTGACGAAAAAAGAACCCAGTCCTGTAACCATTTTAGTCCTCATCATTCTGGCGATCAGCGACCATCTCGGCAGCAGTATTGATGACCTTCTCAGGAGGACGCTCAATGACGACGTTGGGCTCCGCGGGAGACGAGATACCAGGCATGGGCGAGAGGTTGCCGCTGGCGACACCGCTACCGCTTCCACCGCCAGGGACAGGGATGCTGATGTCCTCGGGGGAGCCAGGAGTGATCTTAGGGTCGACGCCGGGGATGTGAACGCGCTTGGCCTCGTTCTGGTAGGCGGCGGGGATGATCTCGATGATCTCGTCGCGGGGGAACTTGAGGATGGGAATGTCCATGGTGGCGCAGTGCATCAGGTAGGCGTAGAGAACGCGAAGAACAGACTCGTGCGCGATGATGAGAAGATCGCTCTGCTCACGCTCAAGCTCCAGAATGATGGGCTCAAGGCGGACGGCGAGGTCGTGGTAGGACTATGTAATATGAGTGCTGCTCATGGGCCAATGGTGATTATGAGGTCTCTATACTTACCTCAGCGCGGGGGTATCTATGATGATACGGGTCGAGCTCGTGCTTCTCGACCTCCTCGGGGTAGAGGTGGCGAATGGCACGCTCCGACATCTTCTCGCAGACACCAGGGTTGATCTGGCTCATCTGAGAACGCTGACGAACCTTGAAGCCCTTGTTCTTGAGGTAATCTGCAGTCTGAACGGTACGGCAACGAGTGGAGGTCCAAACAGACAGAGGACGAAGGGGAACGGCATTGCCACCCTTCTCGACAAGGGCAGCGCGCTCCTGCTCGCGGTGCTTCAGAAGCGTCTCGGACATTCGAGCAGCGTACGCCATGCCCTCCTCGGAAAGAGGCGCATCCGCCTTGTACGAGTCTTCCTCGGTGGTAACGCCAGCTCGAACAAAGTAGGTCGTGCGCGACTTGATGTGAAGGTTGGTCAAGTAGAAGACAATGCGGTGAGACAGGTAGCCGAAGGAGACATTGTTGTAGAAGAATTTCTGTCCCGCGTTGATCATCTTGATGTAGTTGAGCTCCTTCTCGTCCATGGTATCGAAGACGGGGATCTTCATATCGATGCGGCGCAAGTACAACTTGGCAGCCTCATCAGGGTCCATGCCCGCGAACTGTACACTTTAGCACCGCGT